GCACTTGCTGTGGAACTGGGAGCAGTAGTCGAAGCAGAGTCCCGGCAGGTCTCTGATCGGGGTGTAGGGGTCTTCCGCGTCGTACAGGTGGGCAGCGTAAGGAGAGCACTCCTGGATGATTCATCAGAAGATGTTTAGGCATTGATGAGATGACGACAACAACAACAAAATATGTCGAACGAATCACGATGCATTGAAAATGTCAAAAGGATCCCTTTAAGCTTTTATTCTGGGTCAAGGTCAAATAAGTGAAACATAAACATCTCCGAAGAGTTAATTTCAGTTCTAAATAAACTAATTATCAGTGTGGATGATGTGTTAATTTAGATTTCTAAATTAACTCTGTATAGTGTATTTTCCAGGCATAGTACAGTTTTATAGAACAATCAAGTCGTTACCTTCAGGTCTAAAAATGCTTCATATATCAAACATGACTTAAGAGAAATTTGACTTTGTAATTTAGTGTCTTGAAATTGGGTCTCTGTTTCTTTAAGAAGCTCCTGCTCCTAGCTCAGGTCTGATGTCATTCCTAACTCAGAAGAATCCAGCACTGCTCACTGATACCAAAACCAGTTTCAGTGTATGTTGATTCATGTATTTTAGACTTTGTGAAGCCATCTGTCATTTGTAACTAGCTTACACTGTTATTATAGCCATTGATTCTAACCATACAGGAGAAGCAAACTAAAAAATAAAATATTTGGATTTTGAAATGTAGAGTGGTTTTTAAGTGTGTTAACTATTATGTTAACTATTTTAAAGTAACATCAGCTCATAAACACAAAATTTGCATCAAAAAGTTATTCTAAACGTAGATATATGTATTTATTTATCATACTAGCTTTTATACTCTTGTAGGCCCCCTAGCGGTGTGGAGGGCCTAAGCAGGCACTTGGGACAGCTCTGCATCAGGACCACCAGCACCCTCAGCATGATGCTGCCCCCGCCATGTCTGGCAGTGTTTTCAGATTTGAAAACTTTACCCTGACTGATTCACACATACTTCTGATTGTTGTGGTGCAGCAGCGTAATCTCCGTTAATCTGACTACAAAGCTTTCCTGCTGACAATTTTTGGCTCATCCACACAGGCAGGCTGAGGGTTTCAATTGCGCCTGAAGGCGACAATTACAGAGCGGGCACTTTTCTGGTGGTCAGGACCTTCTCGGTTAAACTCGCCTCACTGTGGACGGCGGTCCGGTTAATGCTGGAGTTTGTTCTTAAGACATCACAACAAATTTCCTGTAGGCTGACTGTGAAGGTCTGGGTCCAAAGGGTGGGACTTTGAGCCAGTTGGACTTTTCCAAACAGACAATTTCCCCAAACATGTCCTGTTTTTTTTTTCTTCTTCTTCTTCTTTGAAATGGATAAAAGAGACATAAAAATTCTGGAACATCCTCCCCGACATAAACGCTGTTGAAAATTTATGGACTACAGATAGAAGCCTATTCTGTAGCAGAAAGTCAGCCAGTTTAGAGGAGCTCTATCAGTTCTGTCAAGCAGAATGGTTGAAAATACAAACAGAAACCTTGCAGAATTTAAAATCTACAAAAACCAGTGGTTACGTGCAACTTGCTTATCCGCACTGCCAATCTTAAGAGGTTGTTTTTTTTATCTAGTTTTTAGTGCAAATATCTGAAGTAACTTTTCAGCAAAGATATACATGAGCTTGTTTTCAGTAAATAATTGCTTAACCCTCTCCAGGCAGGTGTTGCAGATTTGCAACAACTTAGACTGTCTTTTCAAGAAATTTGAGCCTGAGAGGGTTAATGTGGATGGTAAAGTTCTTTTTCCACTGGAAAAATAGTCTACCAATAGGAACTACTTCTTCATAAATTTGAAGGAATTGTTGACTTAAAACAAGCTCACATTTCTTGCAGAAGAGTTACTCGTAAGTTATTTTTTCTTATTTAAAGTGCATTCAGATATTTGCACAGGAAACGAAACCAAAAATACTTGGCAATATTTTTGCGTTTTTGCAGTGGAAACATCAAAGGATGTGTATGTGCATGCGCGTTTCATTTTGACTCTGTTTTGAAGTTGAGATTTCCCACGTGCTTTTAACAATCCCTGAAAAAATTTTAAATTCTTTCTTTCTTTATTTTTTATTTTTTGTACGTTGTGCAAAAACAAAAGCAAAGCAGCTTCAATGTATCTTTAAAGCAAAACCTTGGGTCGAAATTTCACGCTTACGTCGCACTTTCAGGTATTTTCGCGCGTCCTCAGCTTCTGCATTATGTTCGGCGTCAACAGTTATTTATTCATCTTCACCTGCGAGGTCATGCTGCGCAATTCCGCCAGAATATCAAATCCGAGTCCATCGGAGCGTCGATTGAATGTGAAATCCCCCCACCGTCCCCCAGCTGTGGAGGCGGTGGGCGGTGTATACGCCGCGGGCTCACCTGGCACATGATTTCCTTCAGCGTGTCCTCGCACAGGTCGTAGCCCGCCGTCTCCAGCTGCTCGATCACGTCCCAGTATCTCTCCGCGATCACGTTGTCCATCCTCTGGTCGCAGCAGCCGAACTGCTCGTACTGGGAGCAGAACTCTAGGTGCCACTGCGGCTTGAAAGGCGGCTCGAAGTCCAGGCACTGAGGGTGAGCTGATGCTGGCTGGATGGTGGCAGACAGCGTCACTGAGATGATGATGGTGATGATGCTGGAGAAGATGATCTCTGTTGCGCCGCGTGCCCGCTGTGGGGAAGCACGCGCCGCCGCTGCCGCCGTGCGTAAAAGCGCGCAAATGGCACCGCTCGGTCGGAGAGCATCCCTCTGCTCGCTCGTCATCGCAGCCGTCTGACTCCCTGAGGCTCCTTTACCATCCACTGCTTGTTTATATAGGCGGCCGGCCTCGCGAGGTGGTGCACGTGCGAGCAGGCGCGCTCTCAAAAGAATGCGCGCAACTTCTTATGGCGTTTTTTTTTTCAAACTCCAATTACGTTTCTAGCCAGACTTATTAGTAGTTCAATTAGCAAAAAACAAAAGTAAACGAATAAAATTAATGCTATTTTAATGTCATTCCAAACTTATTTGTGTGGTTTCTGCACCGCAGCAAAAGTTGGCAGAGCTTTACGCACGCACGCACGCAGCACGCACGCACGCACGCACACCACACACACACACACACACACACACACACACAGGCTTAAAGCAACCCAAACTGTAATTATGTCGCACATTTATGTAAAGCGCCTCCGGGCAGAGCTGGACGCCCCCTCTATGTATAAACTGTTCCAGCTTGTCAGAAGATATTTTAATATAAAGTCTAGTCAGGTGTGGATTACACAATTTTGAGCTGCTTCCAATAAAAACACACTGCTGAGAGATAATGTAAAGGAACAGTGACAGACCATTAAAAAAAATAACAAACAAAAAAAAGGGCCCACATTGACAGATATGAATAGATTAGTAGTTATGAAGCGTCGTCTGGCCTGAACTGTCTGTTGCCCTGAAATAATTTGTCAATGGAACAAGCATTTATTTATTTTTCTTTAATCAATTTTGAGGATTTATTGACTTAAAATAAGTTAATAAATCTTTCTGAAGAGTTAACTATGAGCTTGTTTTTCTTATTTCAAGTGCACTAAGATATTAGTATTAAAATGAAACCTAAAATACTTGGGAAGATTTTGTGTTTTTTCAGTACAGTATTGGCCCCTTTGGCCCCCTGAGAGCAAAGGGGCCAAGAATGAGGCCTGCAGTTGTTTTTTTGTTGTTGTTTTTAATGCTTACAGCTTGTGGTGGAGCCGCTCTGGGCAGAAAGCCATATCTCTCGTAATTACAAGCACCACCGTGGATTGCAAATTTACATTTCCAATTGTATTTGCTGGCATCTCAAAATATAGTTTCCAGGTTCTCTTGAGATTTCCCCCCCCACACACACACACACACATTACTACATACATTTCTCTTCGCTGAAATGTCCAGCTGCGAGTAAACAAACGGCAAAAAAAACAATAATGTATCCATTTATTCAGCCTGATCAGAAAAATAAGTGAGCTATGATTGAGAGCAGGCGGTTGGAGGAGGCGTACCTGAATTTGGAGAGAAGAATGGAAGAAAACACCCTAAATCCAGATGTGCCAAAATCGTAGAGGCATACCAAAAGTCTACTTGCGTATGAAGCAAGGACATTTAAACAAAGCACTCAGTAAAAGCTTTTGTGCATCGCAAAAATGTAAGAGAAAAAAATTCAACTTGAAGAACATAGAAAATAAATGTTGAACACATGAAGAGAAGCATATGAAATAAAGGTGTGAAAAACCCATTAAACATATATATATTCACACACATATATAAAATTGTGTGTGTGTGTGTGTGTGTGTGTGTGCGTGTGTGTGTGCGTGTGTGTGTGCGTGTGTGTGTGCGTGTGTGTGTGCGTGTGTGTGGTGTGTGTGTGTGTGTGTCGAAAAACGTCCTTTCTGTTCAGCTCTCTTATCAAGATACACTGTAGTGACAGCATCTGCTCGGCAGATGGCAGCAACGAGTTCAATGGGTGCAGCAGGACGAGGAAGCGGAACTACGTCACTTTCTTCTGGTATTTGTTTTGGTCAGAACAAAAACGTTGAAACTTGGCGAGGGAAATACATAAACATCCGCACGAGCTCTTCAATTTAAAACTCAGAGTCACGTTTTTACTCGATTAATTTCCAAAACTCTGAAACAGACATGGAGTCCCTTGAAAGTTTATAAAATGATAAGTTAATATTTTTATTCTTCATCTTTTAGCGTTAATGTGTTCTCCAACAAATACAGGTAAGGCAAAAGTATTTCTTGCTGTTCTTTGTTTTTAACACGGTTCCGGTGTTACGTTTTCAGCAACAACAACAAAAAAATGCTCCATAAAACGTTTTAACGAAAGCTATGAGTTGTAAAGGGTCATAGTGATGCTACTTGAGGTTTTCTGTTCCCGTATATTTTTTATTTACGATAAAAATCCATGTCGGACTTTTATTGTGAAGGGTGGGCTGCTGTTTCCGGTCAGATAGAAGCTAATGCTGGCTGTCTTGATGGGCGGCGGAGAGGCGCTGCCAAATCTGGCAGCAAACTAGATTTCCAACACCTCTGCTGCCACAGTCCTCCGTCATGGCACCTTAAGCGTGTAACCAACCCGACGTGATAGCTGACTGCATCCTGTCTGTTTGCTGCGGCTGAGCCAGACGCTGACCCCGCCGGAGACACGAGCCGCGGTGCGGACGGGCTGAAGCCGCCACAATGAGCTCCGAACACCAGAGCGACAGCGAGGACGCCGACGAGTCGCAGGATAGGCCCGGCAGCACCGGTAAGAAAGAAGACCCCGCTGGAAGACCGACACAGTCGGAGGGTGAAGAAGACGCCCCGCAGAGGGTCTGTGCTTCGCCGCCGGGGAGCAGCCGCGAGGACCAGCCGGAGGGCAGCGCCGGCTCCTCTCCTCCCCGCCTGGAGGATGAAGAGCGCCGCGGCTCACCGGGCGCCGCTCCGCAGGCGGGGAGCGGTGGAAGCTCCAATAGCGAAGGCTACAGGGGGAACAGCCTGTTTTCCTGGCTGCAGAGCAGGACTGTCAGACGGGGGCTGTTTGTAGACCCAGCCAGGGATAACTTCAGGACAATGACCAGCCTGTACTGCTCTATGAACCCGGCCGTGGAGTCGGTCAATCTGAGCTCCCAGACCCACGGAGCTGTCTTCAATCTGGAGTACTCACCGGACGGGTAAGTACCGAGATGTTTCAGGACGCGGTCACAGGTTTCACTGATTGCACTGACACATGCAACGACTCTGTGCTTCACAATTTAAACCATTCGTCTTTGGAAGTTTCATCTGAAGTTCACGTCACATGCGTGATGCGGTGCTGCATGTCTTTAGACAGCTCCCCACAGCAGTCACAGCTAATGAGGACAGTCGAGCCTTCTTGACTAGACACCACATGCAGGACCTAAATCCTGCAGCCAAACCGGGTCAAGCTGTCTTGTCTGGGTCACGTTTGTTTGTGTGCTCATGTGACACGGTAAGTCCTTCCTGCACACTGTTGGCCTCGACAGTCTGCACACACGCAGGTGCGTCTCAGTAAGCTCGACTACGATCAGGACCGGAGTCAAACTCGAATACAGATGATTTACTTCTCTTCATTTTCACGATTATGGTGTGCAGCTCATGCTTACCTAAAATTCAATTTGGGGCGAAACGATTTACCGTGATAAATCCATTGTTAAAATAATCGCCAACTAATTTAGTTGTCGACTAGTCGTTAACTGGTGTAAAAACACTAGTAAAATGACATTTGCTACTGTACATAATATATATATATATATATATATATATATAGATTGCATTTTAAATGAAAAATCCTATTTGAATGTAAATATTTTCTAACAGAACTCATCAAGTAGCAAAGTATTAATGCTTTAAGTATTAAATATTTAATGCTTTAAATTCTATCAAAGTCTAACATTAAGCATCTTTTGCTATGGAATTGTTAAAAATAGTCAACTAATCAGCCCATTCTGTACTGACAAGGGAAGCAGAAAGGAGTTATTTAGATGCTGAACTGACTCTGTAAAACTCAGGACAGTTGCAAATCGCAACTAATTGTGCAAAGTGTACACAGAGCACTTTTTCCCTCCACTTAACTTTTTTGGCTGAATTTTTAATTTTTTTTTAAATTGCGAGTTTCCCTGCCTGTAAGCTATAATAGTCCAAATAAACAGGAATATATGGTTAATATGTATAATTCAGTGTGCAATTAATCTGAAGTTATACTTTCTTCTACTGCAAGAAAGTAAATTTCCCATATTTTAACACGTTTGTGTTGTGATATATTGTGCTGCTCTATACTTACAATTTACTGAGATACACCTGAGCGACGTAACTCAGAGCATTTTATACAATGCTCATTGCATTTTTCTACGGTTTTACTACTATTATTATTAGAATAATGTTATCGCTTTACTGTTGCACTATTCCCCCTCTTTCCTAAATGTAGAGTAACTTGGATGATGTCCCAGTTAAAACCTTGTCCCCGTCTTGTGGTGGCTAGTAACTCAGGTTTGTGCTCCCTGCTCAGGTCTGTGCTGACTGTGGCCTGTGAGCAGACAGAGGTCCTCCTGTTTGACCCCATCTCATCCAGGCACATCAAGACCCTCACAGAGGCCCACGAGGATTGTGTCAACAACATCAGGTGCACTTCTCACACTTAATGTCAGACATTTAGGGGTTTTTAAAGCCGGTCTGAATCACCACGTGTCACCCGGAGAGAAAAAAATTAAGGCGGACGGATTTTTGTTCCTGGTTGGGAAGAAACGTCAGTTTTTCTTCCAAGATGTTGTTTCCACATTATTCAGAATATCTTTGACATTTCAAGCTTATCATTTAAAATTTTTATTCATGAGATCAAATTTGGACTCAATTCCAGGGGTGGGCATTTATTGTGTCACCATTTGCCATTTATTGTGATAAATTTCTGTTGATAAGAATATCGATTTATTGTTATCACTATAAATTCCAATAAATGGTGTATAAAACCCCCCAAAACTGTCCAAATTGTTGGGATTCCTAGTTCCTCTACAGTTTGTTCGATGAAAATATCGACATACGATTATATTCAGTTACTGTGTGCTGTTTAGTGACACAAGTCGCACTTCTTTACGTGAATGGTGTCGTATTGAAGTGTATTATAAATGATTTTCAAGAGCAATATTTATGTTTGTGAGACTATGAATACTGTCATACAGTCACAGCCACACAGTTACCTTTAAAAAAATGTATAATTAATAAATAGTTTTTAATCACTTTTATTGTTATCAAATATAGCTATATGATATTTTTAGCTATGTTTAATTCTTCATATTTTCAAGATTATGTAACTGGAAAAAAAAGGTCAGCCTTTTCTTCAGCTCCTATTGACCCTAATGTAGTTTTTATGTGTACAGCACATTGGTGCATCTGAAGTTGTTTTTAAATGTGTCCCGTATGTGAATGAACGAGCAAACGAGGCTCAGAGGCCAAAGGTCGGCTGAAACCGCCTCGTCTCTCTCCAGGTTTTTGGACAATCGCCTGTTTGCCACCTGCTCCGACGACACCACCATTGCATTATGGGACCTTCGTAAGCTGAGCTCCAAGGTCTGCTCGCTGCACGGCCACGCCAGCTGGGTGAAGAACATCGAGTACGACACCAACACTCGCCTCCTGGTCACATCCGGCTTTGACGGCAACGTCATCACATGGGACACTAACAGGTCGGTTGGGTTTGGGTTACGCAGGACCTCTGCAACGGCATGCATCAATTTTGAATCTTTAAAAAAAAAAACATCCTGCGAAATATCCACTCAGTCCTATACTTTCCACTTTAACTTTTACAACTTAGTAAAATAAAAAAAAAGAAATGTTATTTTTATTCATTTATATTGATTTATTTGTGTCACTACTGCTCAGAATGAAGTCTGGATGAAAACTTTAGCTCAGTTTGGATGAAAAGTATCTATAGATGTATCAGTTTTGTAGTTTTATTGGCACAATTTGTTCTGTAAGTTTAAAGTTTGTGGGTTTTAACATTTTTGCATGATGTGCATGACAATAAAAATAAAAATGAGAGAATAATCATCCTTAAACTACAGCACAATAGTTGTTTTGCAATGAAGTGATTCACGATCCATGTTGTCGGTTTTAGTACTGCAAAGTTTTCCTTACTTGGTTGCTGGGGTTCTACAAGGAAGATCTAATTTATTTAATTTTGAAATGTTTATGCATCTGAAGGCTTAGTGAAATCAACTTATTTCCTTTTATCACCTCTGTTAAGTAGTAAGAGGAAGTTTAAGTTAGTTTAGATGAATAAAAAAGCCCTTTAGCAGAAAAGGATTCTGTAAATATCTGAAATTTATGCCATTGACTCTCTCCTCAGGCCATTTCCTCTTTCATTTACCTCTGTTGTTTTAATCCAGACTGCATGTGTTTGGTTATTGCCAACAGACTTAACAAGTGCCCTACAAAAAAATTAAATTCCAACTTATTAGAAATATTACTGCATTGTTAAACGTAATAAATGTCCTCCCTGGAAGGTTTACGGAGGACGGCTGCCCGCACAAGAAGTTCTTCCACACTCGCTATCTGATGAGGATGCGTCTGACTCCCGACTGTTCCAAGATGCTCATCTCGACTTCCTCAGGGTACCTACTCATCCTTCATGACCTGGACCTCACCCAGTCCCTGGAAGTGGGCAGCTACCGCATGCTGCGAGCCCGACGGACCCCGCTCAGCTCAGGTCGGAACACAGTTGTCGTTTAAAAACAGAAAGAAAAGCAAATTTAAGCCTCTCCACAGAGTGTCCCAGCATCCTTAAAAAGTCTGGAATGCGTCTATCTAAAATTAAGGCCTTACAGTGTGTTAAATTAATTGGGGGAAGAAAAAAAAATTCTGCCTTATATACGTTTTCTTTTTCTCGTGGAAATTTATTGTTGCGCAACACTTTGAGGTGATTAGTGACCTTTTCACTGCGTCTTAAAAAGTCTTAAATTTGTATATCTAAAATGAAGCTCTGAAAACTTCCCAAATTCATAGAGGGAAAAAAATAAGTTTGCAATAAGTATGTTTTCCTTTTTCTCGCAGAAAAAGCCCGATGTCTGTTGCTCAACATCCTTGAGTTACATTTTTACTGTAACTCAAGGATGTTGCAACTGCTGGTAACTAGTTGCTGAAAGCCAGTTTGATTTTTAATGCCAATTTTTGCTATTTTGTTTTTGTGTAGTTCTGACATAATACAGGTCTTAAATTTGATTCATAGTGGTCTTAAAATGTGTGTCTAAAATTAATTAAAATGTTTTAAAGCAATTGAGGGGAAAATAAATTTGCTTTAAATATTTTCAGTTTTTTTGTGGGACTTTACTATTACGCATAATGGTCTTTAAAAATGTCTTAAATTTCATTTGGTGAAACCTGTAGAAGCCATTTTCTCAGTGATTTTTAATCCATTTTCTTCTTCTTTTTTTTTTACCAAATTGAAATGAATCAAGTGAATTTAAAGGAACATTATTTAAAAACAGAACTATAAAGTTTGTGTGTTTTTACTTTTTTTGTTTTTTGTATTGTTTTTCTACAGATGGAGGCACATCAGCGTCCAGATCGACAGCGACGCCCCGTCAGGGACACGACTCCAAGCTTCATCCTCACAGAGAAGGTCAGGGATGATCTCAGCTGGATACTGACATCCCAGCGTCAATTCAGCTTCCAGGACTGTGATCAAACGTCCTCTCTCCTCAGGTCTGTCCCCACGGAACAGCCTGGAGGTTTTAACTCCTGAAATCCCCGGGGAAAAGGACAGAGGGAACTGCATCACGTCCCTGCAGCTGCATCCCAAAGGCTGGGCCACGCTCATCCGCTGCTCCAGCAACATGGACGACCAGGAGGTGAGGAACCTTTCACGCCATCGCAAATCCAGATCTGCTGCCTCGTAAAAGTATTTCTGATCTTCAGCCACCACCTAATTTCGCAATTTAGTCCATTGAGTTTAATATGATCTCACTACGAAATCCCGCTGGTCCCTGAAAGCCTCAGAGGGTTTATTAGGGCAAATTATAGAGCACATGGCATCATGAAGACCAAACAGGTTTGGGATAAAGCTGAGCAAAATGTAAAGCAGGGCAAGTTCTAAAACATCTGTCTGTTTATGTGCAAAGCTGCTAGAGATATACCAAAGAAATCTGGAAATGTCTTTCCATGGACAGTTTCTATTTTTTACATTTTAATTTTTTTTAAAATTCTTTCCAATTCACAATGCTTCACAAGAATGTGTTGACTTATTACATAAAACGCTCAGCTTTATGGTTCTAACTAGACAAAATAAGACAAAAAGTTCATTGGCATCAGTACTTTTTTCAAGATGCTGTATTTTTAAGCCACAGCAGTTAGGAGGTACCATCTGTTTTTATATCACTGCAACCACAACTTGATTTCATAATTTTCTAAAAATCTAAATAGAGCGATGGTGCTCATTTGGCATAAACTTTTCTCGTCTCGATTCCTGACACTTCTTCTTCGTTTGTTCTCTTTCTCCAGTGGACCTGTGTGTACGAGTTCCAGGAGGGGGCGCCCACTCGGCCGCTGGTCTCTCCCCGCTGCTCCCTGCGCCTCACCCACTACATCGAGGAGGCCAACGTGGGCCGGGGCTACATCAAGGAGCTGTGCTTCAGCCCCGACGGGCGGCTCATCTGCTCCCCTTACGGCTACGGCGTCCGCCTGCTGGCCTTCGACGAGCGCTGCAGCGAGCTGGCCGACAGCCTGCCCGTTCAGACCAGCTGCCTCCGGGAGATCCGCTCCATCTACTCGCACAGCGACGTGGTGCTCACCACCAAGTTCTCCCCGACTCACTGCCAGCTGGCCTCGGGGTGCCTGAGCGGACGCGTGGCGCTTTACCAGCCCAAGTTCTAGCATCCGGCGTTGTTTAAAAAAAAATTTTGTTTTTTTTTCAACCCGATCACTGCAGACCTGGGGAAACGCGTCCCAGGCTAAATCGCTGCATATGAAGGGGTGGAAATGCATCATGGAAGTGTTTTACAGGTGGTTACTTTTAGCACATTTGTGCACAGGATTTGCTGAAGCCAACCAGAGATGCACTGATCTGAGTTCTATTGCCAATTTCTAATCTTTGCTATTTGTACAGCTTCAACCTGCCGATACCGACTTTGGTCTACTCCAGTTTCTGTTTGAAAACTAATATATAGCATAAGAAAATACAAGAACAGAATTCAGGATATGTTTCTTCCTTGTTTACTTCCCTTAAGCTGCTATTATTTATTTATATTAGGAGCAGAAACTATGTTTTGAAAAAGTATAACCATAAATTACAGCTACTGTTCTTTTACTAATCTGAAATTCTAGAGTTGACATTTTAAATGACCTTTAGCATTTTATAGAAGTGATTTGCATCACTAAACAAATGCTGTATTCTGTTCAGCCTTCCTGTTGTCTGTGAAAGTCTTGCTCTCTCTTGCTTTCCTGCACTCTTGATGAACCTCAGACTTATTGGTTTCCCGTGTTGCACCTCTTTGCTTACTCTATCTTAAATTTAAGCGTCTGACTGATTGTGAAACTAGCTAACGTTGAGTCTTCGCTCAGTAATAGCGTTCACTTCGAAGAGTGTTTTGTGCGGTCAGGTAGCACTTCCATTTGGTGCATTCACCGACTCAAAAAAGATTGGATTTTAACGTGTCCTCCACTAGGCAAAAAGAATCGTCCAGCAGATTCCTCGATGCATCTCTACAGCTAGCTTAAGAATGTAGAGTGTTGCGCAACAACCCAGGTCTGCAGCTGTTAAACGGGTTGAGTTCGTTTAGGTGCTAGCCGTCAAACTGACGGCCATGAACTGGCGTAAAGAAATGACAGACTGAAGCTCTGGGCTAATTGCCAGGTTGCAGCAGAGGATGGACACTTTGAGCCCTGGATTTCAAGACACGACACAGAAAAGCAAGCTCAAAATTGAAATACAAAGAAATTGCGTTTTTGTTTTTACAGAGGAAACTTCCTGAGCTGAAGTTCAATGCAATTCTCGATGCAACTTGATATCAGGCAACGGCAAACTGTTGGTCGTGTGTAGCTCCTATAGTTACAGAGTTGCTTTTGGCCTCTAATAGTAAATATTTGTTTTCTTCCGTCTCAGGAGGACAACATTAACAGTGCAAAAAGTCTAGTATTGTTGAACCCGGAAGACGAACGGACTTTTGTGTACGCTGTTTAACTCGACTTCCTGCGCCGCGCCTGGTGCCGCTCTCTGCTGCTTCACTCATGCCTTCGCCACAGGTGCTGCTTCTGTGCTCATACAATCTGAACTTCAAGGACCTACCCTCCTTTACCTGCCTGCTGCTTTTTTTGTCCCCAACATCTGATCTCTTTCCACGGTCCAGATCCTCTGTTGTTTTTAAGGGTTTTACTTGGTGTATTAATATTGGCACTAATCGTTGCACAGCGTTTGATTTGATAATCACTTCAGAGTTGCTACTCTGTAATCACCTCTCTACTTTCCCCAAAGCTTTTATCTAAAGTCTTTAGATCGCAATATGTGGTCACCTGGAAAATGGAGCACTCGTAAAAAGGCGGCGAATATTTCTGCGTCATTGCAACTCAAAGATACATAGTTTCACCCTCTTTTGGTCTTAGCGCTACGCTTTATAGGAGCGATGCAGGCGCCAAGTCTGATGAGAGTTCTCCTATCACTGTTGGTTCCTCGAACCACGCATTGCACGCACACACGGAAAAAAATCGGAAAAGCGCAGGCAAGGTCAGCGTGAGCAGGCTGGACCATGCAAAGGCTCCAGCCTGTCAATGGGGTCCCATTGACTCTTATCTCTTACTGTTGAGGGAGGGTCAAGAACTATTTCTAATTTTTTCTTGTAGCCTGCAAGTTTTGCCTAAAATGTGTAGGCTGCTTCACATGAGTTAAAATGTTCCTCAAAGTTAAAAGTTTTTATCAACGACTGTTCAAGGCGTATAAAAGAGCACAACAGATGCTTACAAACATTTGTTAAAAGCCTGAAACCAAATTAGATATTTCCATTGAAAAATCTTACAAGAATTTTAGAAAAAAATACCCCGTCAAGAAATATTTCCGACTGCTCACTGAGTGTGTAGGCAAGGTAAATGTTGGCGGTTAAAAGAAATGGGCTTCTGTCCTACATCGTATTTATTCCCCAGGCCAACAGGAAATCTTAAAATGAATGACTAAAATAAAAACAAAGCTAAAGTTGCATTAACTCTATGCTATTGGTGGAGGTGCCTAAGCCCCTTTTCCTAAAACATGGTGGGTAAATGTTACATCCTGATGTCCAAGCTATCATCATCTGATGGTTTATATTAGAACCTGAATAAACCATCAGGCTCACTCATAGCAGGTAAACTGTCGGATTGAGTTAGCTTTAAGTGTTCATTAATGTCCTTTTACAGCCACACACTGCAGCCATTGTTTTGTTAGTAGAACACTGTTACCGCTCCCAATGACTCCAGGACACATTAGAAGTTAGCTAAAGGTAAAACTCCTGCTATGCACATCAGCCTTTCTGGTGATTCTCCTTTATTATTTCTGCTCTATGCTGAGCTGTCAGTTGCCAAAATATGATTTATGATGGATGAAAGTGAGCTGAGAACTTCTGCTGGTATAGATTTAAGAAACGCTTCTATTTAGATCGACCTTTTTTGTTGTTGTTGCTGTTGTAAATCTACTTTTCTCTCGCCACTGTAGAGGGCGCTGTTGCACTCCCATTTAATTCAGATTTTCAAACTAATGTGTTGATTACAACTAGTTGATAAAAGTAACAAGGGATTAAAAATCTGTGTTTGATAATTACTATAACGTCAGAGTTGGGAGGGAAATGCGACTGGAGCCGTTTTGACCTGAATTTGGCTTTTGAGGTAAAGGTTCAATAACGACATAAATTAGATTTCACTTCTGGTCTCCAAGTTTTCTCCCGTTGGCGTCACGCCGGGACGGGCGTCGTGCCTCAGTTTGCCGCTTTCATAACCTTCAGGTCAGTCAGTCGTTGGGTTCGTCTAAACGCGGACGCAAACATTTCTTAGCCACCTTACCGGCGGAGTGTGAAGGGATTCTGTGTTTCCTCCTCTGTTTTTACTTCAGGTACACTCACGACCTCTTTGAAGTGTCTTATCTATTTTCACTCCGTATATTTACGCAGAAAGACTGGGGGGGAAGGGGAGAAAAAAAACTGGATTTATCATGTTTTGTGTGTTATTTTTGATTGTTGCTTTGAATTTTAACTTGTATCTAGCCATGAGTTTCATGAATGTTCACACTATTACCTTTTTTTTCCCATGTGTGCACCATTAAGTGATGAAGGATGGGTAGATGAAAATAAAACATGGTGACATGCTTAAAGTTGCTTCCAGCATTACTCTTACCTATCCAGCAAGTACTCTGGGAACGATGGTCAGAAAGGACAAAAGGTGAGTCACTTTACCTCTACTGACTGCCATGTATGAACTTTTTTGTTTGTTTGTTTGTTCGGTCAAATCTGAAAAGTGTGTTCGTCATCTGTAATCGTGCTACACTTCCATAAAGGCCAGATTTATGGAGTCCGCAACTAATGGTTACCAACATATTTACCTACCAAGGCATGACCTTCCACTTAATTCAAAAGGAGAGCATTAAACAGTTAATTCTGGTGAAACCAGCAGCATATCCACCTTGTTCAATTCTACACTTTCAAAGTATTAACATCTTTCTAAACGCAGCTCCACAAAAAAGTTTTCACCGCCTTTACACATGGATAACTTGTTATAGCTTTGTTATGAAGCGAGTCTGTAGGACACTGAATCAATCTAGGATTTTTTTTTTTGCAGTTTTGCTCATTTTTAACAAAAATATCACAAAAAGCTGAATATGACATTTCATGCTTGTTATATTTTGTTGTTTACATGATTATTGTTTACGCTCAGCGAAAACTCCACAATTAATTCTCTCAGTAAATTCAAATTTCATTCAATTTCCATGAGTTACTGCATCAGTGCAACGTGGCACGGAGGCGTTCAACCTGTGGCTTCGCAGGTTGCTATGACGACAGCCTTCAGGCCATCTACGTAACTCTATAGACTATGGGGTTAAAGGTCGAGAATTGTCTGGTCAGTCAGGTACACTAGTGGTAGTGTACTGTCTTGAAAAAGCTGTACATGTTGTTATGACCGTGTCGTGTTGTTAGGAACTGAAGGACCTGCATCGTCTCAATAAACTTTTTTTTTAAGTAGGGTTGAACACTACACTTTATTAATGTTCAACTGACACTTTATTTCTCAACCCTTCATTATAAACTTTGACATTTTGCAACATGAATTATCACATTTATTTGGGAGTTTGAGGCCCCCAATGCAGAAAGACAATGTGATATATATATATATACATATATATCAGACCAGCTGACAGAGATTCACATTCTACTTATTACACAAGAAAAAAACAAAAAAGAACAGGAGAAACTACCTGATATTTTTCCCCTAATTATCCAGTTAGTTTGATGTTTTATAAATGGCTCCATGCTCACGTTTTGACACCCCACAAACTAAAACTGTTGCAACACAAATCCTGAGAAATGTCGCTTCCGCAACTAATCCGCAGTCACCAACAATAAGAACTTTGCATCAATTTCCCAATAAAAGGCATGAAAGATGTGTATGTTTGGGTTTTTCTTTTTCTTTTTTTCTGTTCTCGGCACAGCTGATCCTGCAGTAGAAGACAGTTTTTCTTCCTCGGCGCTTCGTCCTCCTCCTACTCTGCGGATCCTCATGAGGAGCGCGCGCGCCTCGCCTGGCTCTCCCTGCGGCGGTTGATGGCCTTGGTGCTGGCGCGGAGCTTCCTCATGCGGAGCGCGCGCAGCCGCAGCTGGAGGTCCCTGGGGATCTTCTCCCCTTTGGCCCGCAGCTCCTTCAGCCTCTGGACGGGCGTTTTGGTGAGGACGAAGTCGCAGGTCGTCGGGCGAGGCTCCAGGCCGACGCGGCAGCGACGCATGGACGGAAAGTACCCCTCGGCCCACACCGCCACCTTGTACTCGCCGGGGTTCAGCAGGCGCCAGTAGTCCCCGTCCGCGGCTGAACGAGGCGAAAGACGAAACACGTGATCAACAACCGGAAGTTACCACTGATTGACAAGAAGAAGAAGACGCCAAAGTGGTAGTAACAGTAACAGTAACAGGTTTTTTTCGGAATATTGACAAAGTTCATTTGCTGGCTGACCTCTGCAACACTCGGTTTTGTCACCGCCAGTGAATGCAACTTCCATGAAAAGTTCTTTGGGTAGAAATTACGAGATTGCCAGAAAACGAATTTCTCGTGGGGAGGGAAACTCTCCGTGTTTCCTCTTTGTGAAGAAACACAAAGAGGAGATTTGAAATCCAACAAATAGTCAATCCTTAGCTCGACTCAAAATAAACGAGAAACAGAGAGGACGACCAAAAAAAATAAAACAAGCACATCTCCTATCACATCCTCATGTGCGCTCGCAGAGGGGAAGCTGAACAGCAGGTTGGATGGAAACTGCAGGACTGACCTGATCTGATGTCGTGGTCGTGGTCTTCCACCTTGACCACGGCGTTCTCTATCCCTCGCTTGGTGCTCTTGTCTCTGATGACGCCTTTGATCCCTCTGTGAACCTGAGTGAGGAGGAAACCTGGCATTGATGTGCCGCAGCCCCGGCAAGAAGCTCACACATCAACAAGCGGCTTATACTTTTGTTACTTTTATTTCTCCTCTCCTCTGTTTTATTTCTGTTTTTAAAACCATCATGAAGGCATGGGTGTACTGAAGGACCAATTCACTGACATGCAATCGTTCTGAGGGCAACAGTTAAGGAACTACGTTTTAAAATGAAGAAAAAAAAAAGTTAAACCTTGTGAAAAAAACAACATAATAATAATAATGTCGATATTCATGGAGATAATTAAACAAAACACACATCTGAGAGAGTTGTCGGGACCGACCTGCTCCATGTAAACCAGAAGAGACTCCTTATTGTTCTCCCACTCCGCCGGAAGCTCACTGGCATGAGGGAACTTATCACAGGACAGCTCCACAGTCACCTCCAAGCAGTTGGTGTGCAGGTAACTGAAGTCATTCATGCCTGCAGAAAAGACACAAAGTGGGTTAGGGTTAGGGAAGGGTTAGGGTTAGGTTAGTCTCAAACGGCATAGTCATATTTATTAATGCTTTGCCACCAAACAGGAAGTGACTGTGTTTCCCACCAGGAGGCCAGATTTCACGTCACGGCCCCTCTGAACACGACTGAAAGTGATTCTTAAGGCTTTGCTCTCTGTGCAAAGTCCTAAATATGTTGATTTAAAAAAAAAATCTCTCTTAACTTTAGGATTTAGGAAAAAGAAATCATTTTGATGATCCCACCTGACCTAAAACAGGAAAAAGATTCAACTAATTTCATGTCAGGCGATGAGAGACTAGTTCAATGGGACAGAGACATTTACATACATAAACAACATTTCTGAGCTCTGAAAGGTGAAAATTTGTTAGAAAAAAACCCCCAAGAAATTTTCTAGACATCAATTTGGAAATTTCTTCCAACTTTTTGAACATTTTTGACTTTTGAAACTCAGAAAAAAAGTCTAGATTCTCATCTCAGAAATTCTATAAAATGTTTCAGATTGAGCTCTAGATTTAGGTTTTTTTTTTCTAGCAAATCTTCAACTTTTTAAGTTTGAAAATTTCTCTGCTTTTTGGCGACAGTTTAATCTACAGTGGCATTACATTGTCATGTTCAATTTTTTTTTTATTCTGCATCGTGCTAAAGGAAACCCGTTTCACTCCTGATTCAATGAACCTTTAACCAATTCAAAACTTCTTTTCTTAACAGTGTTTTTGTCCCTCCCTTTGTCTGCTAGACTAAACTAAAACCAGACAATCCTCTTAACTTCCCTCCTCAGCACTTTTTCTTTTTTCATATACATATATATAACTCCAGTGACTCACTGCCTGGGACCGTGTGCCAGGCTCCGCCGTTGATGATGTTGTTGTGCATCTGGAAGTCTTCGTAGTGGCAGATGCGGCGGTCCGGGTTGGCCAGCACCAGGTGCGTGGAGGCGTACACGGTGGCCAGCCAGCGGAAGAAGGCGTCGTCCGCCGTGGGGGTGTTCTCCTGGGGGGCCCAGTCACGGGTGCAGTCGAAGGGATACGTGACGACCAGCTCCCCGCCGTGGAGGTTTGCGCTCAGCACGAAGGGGATGTCCTGCATCCAGCTGATGACTGCGCGGGTCTCTGGAGCCACCTGAGCGGAGGCGGGTGAAAGTATTAGGATTCTCAAGATAAGTGGGGGATAATAAACTGGACTTTTCTTATGTGAAAAGCATCACTGTGATGTGCTGCAGTTACTCCTTACCGTGGCGTCTTCCTGCGTGTAGTACTCTGGGATGGGGATGTAGTGGTTGGATACTTTAGATGGATCAGCTGCAGCCTCCTGGGTGTCCCACATGATGTTGTTGAGGTCTGGAAAGTTATGATTCATGTCGATTCCTTCGTAACTGTACCGCCCTTCGGCCCAGCCGGCCAGCTCTGAGCCCTGCAGCCAATCAGATCAGCCCGTCAGACATAGCGTCAGGAATGTCAACGGACACGTTCAAATACGACGACGCCCAACGCGTCGTCGTTGGGCGTCGTCGTATTGGGCGTCGTCGTACAGAATTATGGCAATTACATTGCCATAATTCTGTGAGAATCTAATTCATTGATTAATTTACAATTTTACTTTATTATCAGGTGTTTCATGTAGATCCCTTTTTTAAAGGAGCAGCATTGTGTATTTTCCACTACAGTGGCTGGAAAATACATTGTGCTATAATCAAATGCTGTACTTACTTGACTATTGCACAATCAAAAAAGTGCAGTGCCTTCATTTGTTGCAAAAGTGCTGCACATGACCAAAAAGGAGCCTGACTTTGTCATTTAGCACACTGAAGTTGGGCTTCTGTCTCTTTAAGAAACTTTTGCTCTTTCTGAAACTTCGCTTTCAGAAAGTAGTCAGAGAAGCCATCACAACATGGCTCCTCTATTAACCCTTTAACATTTTTACCAGCGTTTCACTTTGTATAATGAGGTGCTCAATTTCCACCAGGTGGTCTGCTAATTGCTGCAGGCTAGTCTGAAGGAGCAGAGCGGGGACATCCTCGGAGGCGGCGCCAGCTCCGCCCAGGCATTTTGCACAATTGCATGGTTTCTGGGAGCGACTCAAAAAAATCTTCAAACGTGCATGGAAGAATCAAGGTAACACTCCAGGTATGTTCTTGATGACAGAATGACATCATAATAGGATGTAAAGCTCAAAAACGTTGATTCTTGCAAAGCACTCCCCCTTTAAAGAAAACTATTCTCAATGTTTTCTTCAAA